ACTGCTGTCGTTTGAAAATTCTGTGAGTAGTCTTGAAATGAAGGCTCTACCTTGCGGGATGATTCTCATCGCAAAATTAAGGGTGCCTAGCAGAGATTGTAACTCCTTGCAGTTACAGGAACAGATTTAAATATATTAGTCAATATTTTGAAGGATGGTATTGACTTTATCTTGCAGGAGGCTGGCTACCATAGCCACAGAATCAATTTGAATACCCAGGAAATTAATTATGGTGTCAGGACCTTCCATTTTTTGGGGAGAGACTGGAACCCCTAATGTTTAATAGTTTAATTGCTTTACATAGATTGCTTGGGGGGGAAGAATTGCTTTCAATAAATAGAAAATCGTCTAGCTAGTGGATTACTGTATGGCAACAGCATGTATTCAAGAGGCGTCAACACAAGATCTCGGCGAATGTGTCAAATATTTTAGGACTGTGTTTTTTTTTTTTATCCAAAGGTAAGCCTTGTGTAAAAATTGTACAGGCCATTCCATTTGATACCATGCAGATGACTTAAAGACAGATAAATGGGTAACCACTTAAAAGCATTAACAATGTCGATTTTGCTAAGCCAGGCCCCCTATGCCTGCTGTAATGATCACATCTATGGCATTGTCAACTGTTGTATACTGGAGTGAAAATTCTTCCAAGGGAATCAAGGAGTTAAGAGTAGGGACTACAGAGGAGTGTGGTGCAGAGAGATCTATGATCAATCTCAGTTTTGTAGAGTTTGGAAAATGGAGGTTTCTTAAAAGGCCCTAATAAGTCTTGGCCCAATTTTTGTAACAGTATATCTACCTCTTCGATATCAGCCATGGCTGATTGAAGGTTGTTGCACTCTACTATATCATATGGAAAACATGTTTAAAGCCTGTTATTAAAAATTCAAACAGGTGTGTGGAAGGATGTGTGGACAGAAAACTAGCAAGTGCACCAACATTTACCGAGGTCAAATAAGTTTTGGAATGCATTGTATTTGGGCACATGGATGTCGCATGTGCTCTGTAACAGTAAGAACAAACATGCAACAATCAACACGCGCTTTAACCACACATACACACAACAGGGTGACCAAGCTTGTCGTTGACCGGTTTGTCACTCTCTGATCTAGTACCCGGGATAGCCATGTTATGAGATATCAGGTGAAATAGGACAGAAATTTGACAGACAGACAGAAATCTGACAGGCAGACAGAATGTGAGGTGGATGTGCAAATTGCACAAGCTGGTGTGCGCCATCCAGCGAAGTCTCTGCAAAAGCGTTCTGTCCAATTGGCTCCAATCTGTTCTGACATTGAACTGGGCCAGAGCTGCAGACACCTTCATCATAAATGGACGTACCACTGTTGTAGCAGAATGGACCCTGCTATGCTAATTTAAACCAGCTCTGGGCTGTCCTTATCCCGTTTGTTTTCCCCTCTCCTTGACCCCCTGCATGAGAAAGTAACCCTAACTATGCGAGACTTACTCCTCTGGCCTTGTAACCTAAGTTTTCTCCATTTCACCTGGCCGTTCATCAAAACCCATTCCCTTAAGTGGGAATGTAAACTATAAACTATTTACTCTTTGGAATAGGATTCAAGCAAATGCTGCTTTCAATTGCCACACCTCGTCATCTTGAATAGATCGTACATTAAAAGCAAATAAAAATAAGGTCAGTGTACCTAAATCTGTAATGATGCAACTTATTCCAATACCACCAGAAGGAAAACCTGTTTGAAGCATCATTGGAACCTTATTAAGGACCAAACCAAAAAGGCTGATCCCCACCATATTGAACTAATCTGTTGATTGATACTTGCAAATAATATTAAAAGTACTACTTCTAGTTATCATAGATGTAATACCCTATAATGAATCCTAGAAGGCCACAAGCCAAAATCTAACTAGGTTGTATGTGCGAAACCAGAGGGATTTCAACAAATAGAGTTCCTATGACGAGCGTTCGTGGAAAAAGGTGCGACCATATTGTATGCATACAGTTTCAGCTTGTGACCTTTCTCAAGGATTTGTTTGTAAAAAAAAAAAAAAATCCTTGCCGAACCCCCAGACTCTACGAATGAGATTATGGACATGAAAGCTCTATATGGCCATAGAGCCTTCGTGCCCACTTTACTGAATTAAACATGTGACAGTGTTCGTATGTAAACAAACCATTTGTATGGAAAGAGCCAAACGGGTTGGTATCCATGCAGGTGAAAGCCTGAAAGCTTTAAATGGAGGCTTAGCGTTCGCATGGACTAACCCATGAAAACAACCGAACATTGAAATTTATACAAAATGAGCATAAACAAAATTAGAATCAACCGTGATGAAGCCAAGTGAGAGCGCCGGCGTCCACAGGGTCGGAGGTCAGCCAGAACTTCCAAGTCAGCCATGTGGTCGTCAGACGAGCAAACGCTGGGCAGAACCTGGCAGGACACAGGAGTGGTAAATGGCGAAATTGGCGGTCTGTATGCACCGGAAGTAGCAGCATACAGATCGCCAGACAAATAATGGTAGGGTAGGAAAGGGGGGGAGTCCCTTATATAGGTTCATAAGCCCCTCTCACAAATCCAGCCAAAGCCTTTACATATATGTATATATATGTGTGTGTGTGTATATATATATTATTATTATATTATTATATTTATAGAGCCCCGTCAAATTCCGCAGCGCTTTACAATGGGTGGACGAACAGCCATGTAGTTGTAACCAGACAAGTTGGACACACAGGAACAGGGGGGCTGAGGGCCCTGCTCAATGAGCTTACATGTAAGAGGGAGTGGGGTAAAATGACACAAAAAGGTAAGGATAGTATTAGACTAGTGACAGTTGCAGAAGAGGAATCAGTCAGGAGATATTAACAGTTTAATTGAAACGCTTTTATGAAGAAGTGGGTTTTTAACGATTTTTTGAAGGAGTGGAGACTGGGTGAGCATCTAACGGAGGAGGGAAGCGAGTTCCACAGGAACGGTGCAGCCCTCGAGAAATCTTGAAGGCGAGCATCAGAGGTGGGAGTACGGACAGAAAATAGACGTAAGTCTTCAGCAGGTCGTAAGAGCCTAGACGGGACATACTTGTGTATAAGGGAGGATAGATAGGTGGGAGCAGCATTATGTAGAGATTTGAAAGCAAGAACCAGAATTTTAAATTGAGCTCTATATTTTATAGGAAGCCAATGTGGGGACTGACAAAAGGGTGAGGTATGGGAGGTGCAGGCGGACAGGAAGATGAGCATCGCCGCCGCATTCATTATGGACTGTAACGGTGCTAGTTGGGATCACGTAAGACCACTGAGAAGTGGATTACAGTAGTCAAGGCGAGAAAGGACAATGGAATGGACCAACACCTTAGTCGCATCTGGCGTTAAGTAGGGGCGGATGCGCACAATGTTTTTGAGCTGGAAATGACAGGATTTGGCAATAAATTAAACATGAGGCTTGAAGGAGAGGTCAGAATCAAAGAGAACACCTAGACAGGGAGCCTGTGTGGTGGAGCTGATGGTAGCACCATTGACTTGGAGGGAGACAGACACAGGAGTAACAACACTTGAGGGAGGAAAGACCAGAATTTCTGTTTTGGTCAAGTTTAGTTTAAGGAAGTGGGCAACCATCCAGTTAGAAACAGCAGAGAGGCAGTCAGAGACACTAGTCAAGAGGGATGGGGAGAGATCAGGAGAGGACAGGTAGATTTGCGTGTCATCTGCATAGAAATGATAGTGGAAGCCAAAGGAGCTAATGAGTTTTCCAAGGGAGGCAGTATAGATGGAGAACAGTAGGGGACCAAGGACTGAACCTTGGGGGACACCAACAGAGAGGAGGTGGGGAGAAGAAGCAGAGCCAGAGAAAGAAACACTGAAAGAGGGCTGTGAGAGGTAGGAGGAGCACCAGGAGAGAGCAATATCTTGTAGACCGATATTGCGGAGGATGAGAAGAAGCTGTTGATGATCAACAGTGTCAAAAGCCACAGACAGGTCAAGGAGAATTAGGATAGAGTAGTGACCACGAGATTTTGCAGCGAGTAGATCATTGGATACTTTGGTCAGTGCCGTTTCCACAGAGTGCTTAGCGCAGAAACCAGACTGAAGCGGGTCTAGCGGAGAGTTGGACTCGAAGTCTGGCAATCTCGGATACACAACTTTTTCAAGGATCTTCGATGCAAAAGGCAGTAGCGAGATAGGACCATAGTCGAATGGAGAATTAGGGTCAAGATTGGGCTTCTTTAGAATTGGGGTTACTGTGTGTGTGTGTGTGTGTCTGTGTGTATGTACGTGTGTGTGTGTGTGTGTGTGTGTGTGTGTACTTGTCTTTACCTGTCTGGCTGATTTCTTCAATTCCAACTCTCTCCATGACCACCTTTAGTCTGGCTTCTGCCCCCTCCATTCTACTGAGACTGCTTTTATCAAAGTTACTAACGACCTAATCGCAGCTAAATCCAAAGGCCACTACTCCGTACTAATTCTTCTTGACCTCTCTGCTGACTTTGACACTGTTGATCATGTTCTCTTTCTTCAAACTCTTCAATCACTCGATCTCAGTGACGCTGTCCTATTGTGGTTTTCCTCCTATCTCTTCCAAAGCTCATTTAGTGTCTCTTTTTCTAATGATACCTCCTCCATTCATCCTGTCTTGGTTGGAGTCCCCCAAAGCTCTGTCCTTGGTCCCCTTCGATTTTCTCTTTACACTGCCTCTCTTATCACCTCATTTGGATTCCACTACCACCTGTACGATTAAGACAACAAGATATATCTCTTCTCCCTGGACCTCTCCCTGCTGTCCTGCAATGTGCCACTGCTTACCTTTCTTCCATCTTTGACTGGATGTCCTCCCGCTTTCTGAAACTTAATCTCTCTCTAAAACTGAGCTCCTTGTGTTTCCTCCTGCTAATACTGATCCCTCTCTTTCACTCTCCCTTCAAGTTAGTGGTACTCACATCAGTTCATCCTTGCAAGCATGCTGTCTTGGTTTTATAATTGATAAGTAAAACAAGGATTAGTTAGATTAAAAACAAAAGAAGGTATGTAGAAGAGGATAAAGGTCAGGCTGACTGCCTCAATGAATATTTTTGTTCTGTATTTACAGAAGAAAATGAAGAAAAGGGACCTCAGTTGAGAAAAAGGATAAATGAGTAATTTATTACACGTGAGTTTACAGAGGAAGAGGTTCTATTTCAACTGTCAAAAATAAAGACAAATAAGTCAATGGGACCTGATGGAATACACCCAAAGCTATTAAAAGAGCTTAGTGGTGTACTAGCAAAACCATTAACAGATTTATTTAACCAATCATTGTTAACAGGAGTAGTCCCAGAAGATTGGAAGTTAGCGAATGTTGTGCCCATTTACAAGAAAGGTAATAGGGAGGAGTCGGGCAACTATAGGCCAGTAAGCCTTACTTCAGTAGTGGGGAAAGTGATGGAAACCTTGTTAAAGGATAGGATTGATGAACATCTAAAAACACATGGATTTCAAGATCAGAGACAACATGGGTTTACTTCAGGGAGATCATGCCAAACTAATCTTATTGATTTTTTTGATTGGGTAACTAAAATTATAGATCAGGGTGGTGCAGTAGACATTGCTTACCTAGATTTCAGTAAGGCTTTTGACACTGTTGCACATAGAAGGCTTATCAATAAACTGCAATCTTTAAGTTTGGATTCCAATATTGTTGAATGGGTAAGGCAGTGGCTGAGTGACAGGCAACAGAGGGTTGTAGTTAATGGAATATATTCGAAGCTTGGACTTGTCACCAGTGGGGTACCTCAGGGATCTGTACTTGGACCCATTCTCTTTAATATTTTTATTAGTGATATTGCAGAAGGTCTTGATGGTAAGGTATGTCTTTTTGCTGATGATACTAAGATATGTAACAGGGTTGATGTTCCAGGAGGGATAAGCCAAATGACAAATGATTTAGGTAAACTAGAAAAATGGTCAGAATTCTGGCAACTGACATTTAATGTGGATAAGTGCAAGATAATGCATCTTGGACGTAAAAACCCAAGGGGAGAGTACAGAATATTTGATAGAGTTCTAACCTCAACATATGAGGAAAGGGATTTAGGGGTGATTATTTCTGATGACTTAAAGGTAGGCAGGCAATGTAATAGAGCAGCAGGAAATGCTAGCAGAATACTTGGTGGTATAGGGAGAAGTATTAGCAGTAGAAAGAGGGCTCATGCCATTATACAGAACACTGGTGAAACCTCACTTGGAGTATTGTACACAGTACTGGAGACCGTATCTTCAGAAGGATATTGATACCTTAGAGAGGGTTCAGAGAAGGGCTACTAAACTGGTTCATGGATTGCGGGATAAAACTTACCAGGAAAGGTTAAAGGATCTTAACATGTATAGCTTGGAGGAAAGACGAGACAGGGGGGATATGATAGAAACATTTAAATATATAAAGGGAATCAACACAGTAAAGGAGGAGACTATATTTAAAAGAAGAAAAACTACCACGACAAGAGGACATAGTCTTAAATTAGAGGGACAAAGGTTTAAAAATAATATCAGGAAGTATTACTTTACTGAGAGGGTAGTGGATGCATGGAATAGCCTTCCAGCTGAAGTGGTAGAGGTTAACACAGTAAAGGAGTTTAAGCATGCGTGGGATAGGCATAAGGCTATCCTAACTATAAGGTAAGGCTAGGGACTAATGAAAGTATTTAGAAAATTGGGCAGACTAGATGGGCCGAATGGTTCTTATCTGCCGTCACATTCTATGTTTCTATGATTCTGACCTATGTTATTAATATATTAATTTTAGTGACAGGCTTTGGGCTCTAGTAACAAAACTCATAAACCCTAAGATATGATGTTGTAATCACATTGCCAAGCTTTTAATTGTATTGGCATATATGTAGCATATATACATAGGTGTGTGTATGTATAACTGAAAAACAACTTAAGTACTCTCAAGATGCTCTTATTGAACATTCTTGGCTGAAGTTGATAGGATATAGAGGTTAAATTAGTGACTCTTTATGCCATTATAGAGGGATAAGGTAGCCAGAGGCTGGGTTCGATTAGATATTTTTTTTAATGTTATTATATTTTTTTTTTTTTTCCATTGGCGTAAATATTGTGTTTACCTATTGTGCAGTGCTGCAGATTATCACTTTATAAATAAGATACTTTATAAAATTATGTACAACAGACAAAAAAGCATTTGTCATTGTTTCAGTAAACTTACACAAATAATAATTTGAAATGCAAGTGATACATTTTACAGTCAATTGGCCCAGATGAAATTTCTGCTAAATTTTGGTGAACCCAATATCTTTGCAGAACCTGCACTGCAGAATTTGTTGGCACCCAAGAGTTTAAAACTGTATCCCTTTCAGGCACACACTTACACTGTGCACTTGACTTGACAATGGCTCATTAAATGAACAGAAAGCTCATCATCTTAACTTTTATCCAGCGTTTTTGGTAATGTGCCCCTAGTATTCCTGGCGGTGTGTAATTCACTTTAAATCATTTTTATTTCCTTGACAAAATAATTGTATTCCTTTCTGTGTTATGTTAATGGTCGTTTTTGATATTTATAACTTGACCTCTTTTATCTTCCTCTAATAATGTCTAAATAACTGTTACGTGCAACAAAAGGTCAAACACCGGGGATTAAAAATTTGCCCAGAAAAGGATAATAAATGTTATTATTGCAGAAGATTAGATGAAACCATAAAATATGAAAAACTACTTTAAGTATTATAAAGAAATAACTTTTCAAATAAATTCCGAAAATTCCTCTTTTAATTGCAAAACAATTACTGCACTGAAACATAACTCTTCTGCATGTTTAAATGAATACTCTTATCGTTAAATAGATTTAATGTTCTTTTCTAGATTGTTTCCTTTGTGGATAGTGATATAGGAGCTAGTTCAAGGATTTACAGAAGCTTTATGCACTTTGTTTTTCCTTTCAAATGCATTTTTCATTGAGGGAGTGAAACTGATGTGACTACTTGGGGAGGTAGTAGCGCAAGGGTGTGTATCCAATATACATTAGTTACATAGGTTGATAAAGGTGATCTAAAACATGTATTACTTTATGCAACTTAAACCAGGTTAAGTATGATAATTTGCATGAGTGATAATTCATGTAATTACGCGTGCTTCACAAGTCTTTACTTTATAGATTTTTATTTATTTTTCTATATTTAACATACTAGATTTAAAATATTAGGATAATTGTATAACTCACGAATATTATAGTTTTAGAAAAATAGGGAGAATTTAAGAGAATTGTAGATAAATGATAACATGTTAAGTATTGCATACACAAGTCACATTAGACGATAACGATGATGTTAAGCACTAATCACTGTATGCAATTTATAGTAGGAAGATAAGCTAGATAATTCATGTGAATGATTATGTAATAATTAAAAAACACTTTACAGGTGGTTATTTACTTTTTGCTTACTTTGTTGGGTAAATTAGATTTAAAATTCCAGGCTCACGAATATCACATAGTCTTAAAAAACAAATATAGGGAGAGTTTAAGAGAATTATAGAAAAATGAATATATGTCAAGTAATGCTTGTACAAGACACATAAGATGATAAAGTTGACCTCAAGCACAATCACTTTATGCAACTTAAAGTAGGACGATAAGCATGTTTTTTTTGTCCTTGCTCTCTCTTAAATTCAAGCTTTTAGAGTTCTTGGTGATTGTTACACTCTCTCCCATAGAGGCAACATAGCATGACGATTTATCATTAAATATGATCGTGGTGGAAGGCCCAATGTAGTGGGGCAAACAATTGGGAATTCTTCCAGACTTCCTTTTAGGGTTGTTTTTTTTGATGTTTTCTTTTTTTTTTTTTACATGTTATTGTCTTTGTATTATTGTTTTGTCCTCACGTAAAACTTAATCAACAAGTGGTGTGTTAGATAACTGAGTTGAGAACCCCTGTGGTGGTTCTATTCTTTTCTTCTGATATCAAACAGAAGGTACTTGTGCCCCAAATATGGGACACTAGTTGATATTACATGGATAGAATTATGTATGTCTAGATATGAGGTTTTCAAAACCAGATAATTGAATGATAAATATTGTTTCCATTAATGCTGAAGGGCTTAATTTGCCACGAAAAAGGAGAATTTTAGTTGACCGCATATTCAAAAAACTCACTGGCGACAAGTAGATAAAAAAAATATGTTTAATGATTTTCCTCTCTCCATTCATCTTTTAAGGAGAAAAAGAAAAGAGGAGTGTTAAGGCACCCCTGGCACAGAGGAGTGAAAACGCCATTTAGTTGAGCTCCCTCTCTTCAGTAATGCAGACTCAATTCGTATAGACCTCAAACGCACGAATTGAAGCCAGGGGAATACCCCAATCTCCCGAACGGTATCCGTACGAGTCCTCCAAACTCCCAAACAGTAAATCCACGAATCACGGCTAACAGCCGAACAAATATAATCTCCAAGTGGCTTACATCTCCAGCAATCAGTCGCTAACCGTGTGTATTAAATCCCTCCAATAACGAGACCAAGCTCCGCATTGGGGGTAAAACAAGAACTGGCTTTACTGTGGGCTACCTGCCCGTATTTATGCAGGTCTCCCACTTGGTGGACACTCCCCTAGGGTACCAAATGGGAGACTGTAATCACGGACAGACATGTATCAGTTTAGGACATACAGTCACAGAATATTCTCACAAAGCACCCTAGCTTCCTCCCCTCTGCCCTGGAGATAATTGAGAGGTAATTTAATTATCTCCCAGGACAGAGGCAAATCGCCATTTTAAATGAAACATTAAAAATACATAAAAATAAGTAACTGTACAAATACCGAACATATTATATTCGTGCAATGTATCCCCAGATAGCCTGGATCTGAGTGCATATTCCTACCGAATAGCGCTCAGATCCCATACGCACAGTTCAATCGCCATGGAGTCAAAGTCTTTTTACAGGTCTTTCGGTATGCGGTTGACTCCATGGGATGGCTATCTGGGTTAAGTCCATTCGTATTATCCAAACTGCTGAACGGACCTGTGTTCGCATGCCTCGACGAATGAGAAGGGCGGTCGGTAGTTTCAGCGATGTTCGATGAAAAAGTGTCCGTTTGTAGTTCCATAGAATCTGTGCCGAACAACGCTGGTCTTTTGCGTGTTTTAAAATGGCCGCCGCCTCATGGTCGGCATACGAACGACGACCACTCTGCATTCGGTTATAATTAAGAGGTGTCTGCGGTCAACCACAACGTTCTAATTGGGGCCAAGAGGTTAACCAGCAGCACACTTCTCTTCTGGGTGGCCGTCCATTCGGTAGTTTTCATTTGGTATAAGTCCAAAAAGACGAATAGGGGCATATGGACAGGCAATTCCGCAAAGGGAGGCAAACTAGATGAACAAGCCACACCAGTCATACAGATGGATCTGTCACAAGGATCTGTCAAAGCTGAATGTTTGTATAAAACATTGATGGACCAACAAAATGGGCAGATGGATTATAATATAGAAGAGAAATTGTACACAATAGCTAATATTTGTCTCAAATTCCTCTCAAATTCAATATATACAAAATTGGTTTTGAAACAAGATAAACTTAAACAAGGATCAGTGATAGTAAGGGGAGATTGTAATTGTGTACTTGACTCTAAACTAGATAAAAGGTCAGAGAAAGGCAAAAATCCTTCCAAAATTGTATTTAATCAAGCCAGAACGTATCACCCATCCAAAACAGATTTCACCTGTTTTAGCAAAACACACTGTGCGTATTCTAGAATCAACCTAATTCTGATAGATCAT